ATTGTAAACTTCAAGTACCATAATGTATGTAACATGTTTTTATGATATCAAGTAACCCTCTCCGAACTTATCTGCTAAACTACTTCTCTAAGGCAGATTTTCTACCTCACTTGCATACTAAGTATAATAAGGCCATCGATGTTATAGACTTTTAGTTAATAAGGCCATGTTAAGAAAGCTATTTTATGATGAAAGGCGCTTTATAATACGCGCCTTTCTTAACTGCAATTTTTGGGCAATGTTAAGAAAGGCGCTTTTTAGCCGTCAGGCATTCTGGATTCGTAAAATGGCATGTGAGCCTTAAGACGGTTTAAGGTGTAAGCCTCAAGCTTTATATATAACTTTCGTTATAAATTACAATCTAAAACAAACAGAAGAGCTTGTTCAAATTGGAAAATGTATTTTTAAGTCATTCTCGAGTATTAAGATTGGAAATGAGACAAACTAACATTATATAGCAAATGGAGAAATATTATTTCTTGATGAGTTTTATCGGCCGAAGAGTACTTTGTTTTATGAACTCCTTCATTTTAGTTGCAAGAAAATTTGCATAGGTAATACGATAGTACGGAGTATTATTTTTCAAAACTATTGTGTTACATCAAAACTTACACTAGGATAACTCTTTATTTTCACCTAATTTTTCAGTTAATCTTAGTTCATTTTGAGCAGTGGCGGATCTAGGCATCTGAGGTCAGTGTATGCAAATATACAGTGGCGGACCCAAAAATTTTCTAAAGCAGGGACCCTAACACATGGATGAGAACGGGTCGGGTCGGGTCGGGTCGTATACAACACTGGTCTATAATATATTATTCAATTTTTGATCGATGATAACGTTATATGACGGGCACTTATCGTGAGGTGCACTCAAAATAATAATACAATACAACAATTATACGTAGTATAATGAAGTAAGGTTCGTATCCACAGGGAAAGGAAATAATTATCTTTTTATAAAACTAGTAAATAAAAAGGGGGGTTTTAGGATTGAGTGATTTAATTTGATTAAACACAAAGATGAACAACTTATATGTGATTTAATTCAAAGATAAAAAGGACTTGGCATTGCTACTTTCCACTTGTTGATATATTTTAGTCGATCATTGTTATATCTATAACTTATTCCCTCTCGAATACTCAATCGAGGAGTATATCAAATTCATCGAGGGTAGCTATTAACAATGACCGTTCATTAATAATCCTTACTATTAGTCAAGTGTAGAACACCGCCATATACCGACTTAATAGTAGCATTTAATCTCTTAACTCCTTGATGAAATCAATTGAGATTGATAACCTCAACACAACGGTTTCGGTTTAACCAACAAAATTAATCCCTCTTAAGTTTATTAACCACGACCGTGCATTAATAAACCGAAGTTACTTGTGAAGCCATCAACGATTAACCATCGGTTCGTTGATCGTTTCTAGTAGTAATTAATGTCGAGATGTTAACTAATTGTCATCTTAGCAACACTCCCCAACATTAATATAGAGATAGATTAAGGGAAGAATTAATATTCAAGGAAGAAGATTAAATATGAATAATCCTACTATAACTAATGTCAAGATGTTATCTAATTGTCATCTTAGCAACACTCCCTAACATTAATATATAGAGGAAGAAAATAAATACTACCATAATTAATGTCGAGATGTTAACTAATTGTCATCTTAGCAACACTCCCCAACATTAATATATAGATAGATTAAGAGAATAATTAATATATTCAAGGGAAGAAGATAAGAAAATAACTCACAACTTTAATAATCAACAAGCTTCAAGAGCAACACCAAGAAATGGAAGTTTAGCTCCTCATTTGGAGACTAAACATGCGATAAAAATATAAAAGAAATACTATTCTAAACTAAGCTTAAGAGTATGGAAGAAGGGATTATTAAAAGTGAAGGAAAATGGGGCTATTTATAGGTGTTTTTCAACACATTTGGCCGGGTACCCGACCGGGTAAAGTGCCCACCCGACCGGGTGCATGTCAAAATCAAATATCTTCCACGTTCTGGTGATCTTCGGCACGTTCTGGTGTTCCGGGTCAAGTCGGACCCGACCGGGTGAAATACCTCACCCGACCGGGTGATGTAATTTCCTGAGCAGTTTCACATTTAAATTTCTCACCCGACCGGGTGCAATACCTCACCCGACCGGGTGATTGTCCTGGGCAGCCAATAATCATTTTTCTTCACATTCAAAGTCTTCCTTTCCAACACCATAAATCGTAACCTCTACTTTACAACTTACAAATGAGAACTAAAATACAATTACAACTAAAATCACACAAATGTTTACAAACTAAATAAAATGGTAAACAATCCACACAAATCAAACATAAAAAGACACATTTATGCACTACTAATTAGTGCATATCATTATATCATCCCTGCAAACAATTAAATCATTTTTATAATTAAAATTTACATATTTGAAATATACGTTTTTCATAGAGTCTCAAAGTTCAAGTTAAACTATAATAAAAAATTGATTTGTTGGATAAGTAAGTAAAGTGAAACTATATTAATCAATAAATTTGAATTTGTAAATAATTTTGGGTGAGAGGGAATAGTAAAATGGTGACAACTCCGGTACCTTTCTAAAAAATGGGATACTGTACCTACCACCCATTTGATTGGACCACATCACTTTATCATTTTTAATTTAGATTTAAATAACTCAACTGCTACATTCTCATTGGTTCATGTAGACAAAGGTATGGTACCTTATGGGTACCATAGAATCTACCTAGTAAAATTACACCATAGTAACAATAATAATACGAGTAAGACCTTCCAAAAGAAATAATAATACGAGTAAGAACAATAATACACATAAAAACATGATGTACGGACTGCGGAGTTAGTCTTTAATACTCCGTAACAATATGACTTTAAGTGATACGGAGTAACAATATGACTTCAAAGGCAACAAGTGAGTTCCTTGTTGCCTTTGAAAACTTGGGTGAATAACACTTGAAATATACTCCGTATTAAAAAATGTGTAGCCTTAACGGTAATGCACTTCAAAAAACTAAACAAAGGGTGTAGCCAAGGAGAGTTTCGACCATCCGACGTGAAGCCTGAGAAGGATTTTAAAATCAGTGCTATTACCAAATAGGCTAGAAAGGATAATTGAGGTAAAGCCAGTGCTTACCCTACTTAACACGTAGATCCACCCCTGATTTTGAGAACGTCCATATCAAAAGTCATATGAATATCAATCAAAATCATAGCTGAAGTTTTTTTTAATTGAAGTGGTAAACTCACAGGGGAAATCTTCTGTGGGCATTCGGGAAATATACAATTATGCGTAGAATTATGAAGTATCTTTACATGAGTGGTATAATATTGAATTTAATAGAAGTAATGTTGTATCCACCCCATGTATTTATTAATTTGTTGTTGTGAAATATATTACGCTTTAACACATTCAGGCGTATACTAGAAAGACATATGTAATATATGAATGCAATCACTCCATGCTTATAATAGTTATTAATTACTATGCAATGACAATTAATAAAAGACGAGGACAATTGTTGGAAAAGGTTGACATGCATGCTCCTCCATCACCGCGTTGCTACACGCCCAGTTTCAATCTGGTTTGATGTTTGTGATATGTGACGAAGATAGACAAGCAACCAAGTTTGCTTTGAATATTAAACACAAAGAGGTTCATAACAACTTATAGTTTTCCTTGAGAGCCATGGGCATACATACATGAATATTTCATCATATAATGTTCTATATTTATTTTCTATTATTTATCTCTTAGTTTGCTATTACTGACATCTTATTTTATTTAATATTTTTAGTTAATTGATTTACTATCAAGTTTTTATACTTTTTATCATTACATATAAACTATAATGTCCCCTTCAAAAAAAATATAAACTATAATGTGAATCCTTCACTCTTGTGCAACACACGAGTGGAATATTGTGCGGCCGCATATCAATAGAACATCATTGTTTCTATTCTGTTGTTAAAATTTAAATCTTTATCTGTTATCTCTAGCTGGATGTATCAATTTTATATATTAAGATAACAAGTTCATATTTTTTTAATACGAAGTATATGTCATCATGAATCAATATTAGTTGAACTCAAACCATGATAATGGCCGTATGAGATTGGAGAATTTTCCAAAATTGAGGTAAGATAATTGTTGGTGGTTTATGAAGTCCGATGCCTTTAGATGTAGAAACCACAAATAGTTTACAATGTGTAGGAATTTGAAACCCGGCATTCATTTTAGAACAAAATTGATACATGTAAAAGATTAAATGTATATTTTGTGAGAAGAAAATGAGATATTTTGATCCCAAAAAGTTGGTCCTCATACTATCACTCACTGTCAACAGGTCACTCGCTGATGTGACAGAGCGTACGTGTCCATTCAGTCAACTTTGATTAGGAAGATTATATCGAGTTCTAAAACTTCTATTTTGGCAAGAAATCGATATTAATCCAATGTTTTATATGGAGTATCAATTTTTAAACAAGCTTCAATTACAAAAAATTACAGAAAATTACAAAAAAGGTTTTTATGCCGAGTTGTAAAACAGGCTTCATTTACAAAAAAAAATACATTATGGGTACTTTTATACCAAAACACAAAACCGAGACTCTATTTACTTAAATTAGGCTCTATTTACTACAAATATACTCTATTTACTCAAGCCCAAAAGTTGTACTTGATTGTAACTTCCCACATCTTGATCAACTTCAGTCAATTTCACTTCAAGATAGATGGTAAAATTCAGGAGACTTTTGGGGTCTGCAAAAGTCGGGACGCTTTTGGGACTGCGTCCTTTGAACCAAACATGATTTATATGTAGTGTTCCAAATATATCTTACTCCGTATTATTTGATGGATGAATAACCCAAGTACAACAAGAAGTGACGTTACAATGTACAAAATAACTATTCAAATAAAAAAAAATTGAGAACGTAAATTCAATCCTGCAATGAAATGAGCCGAGTCCCAATATTCTCTTGTATTATTACCAAACTTTACTATCCAATTATGGGTAATATCAATTGAGGTTTGATGAAAATTTATGCTTGCCCTTTTACGTGAATGAATATCTCTCTGCAACGGGCAAATTAAAACTCAAAACCTTGCACTACCAAGACACTGAGACACACATAGTAAACCTAATTTGAATTTCTTACATATTAAAAAAGTATTATACAAAGAAATCCTCAATGAATTAAATATTCCACCTGCTAGCAATGGTTTCAACTTTCAACCACCACTCCCCTTCAAGTAATAATTTTGTTCCTACCTCGTGAATGCCCGCTCATCCCCACAAAAGACGAACAAGAAACTATGTAGAAATACTTGAGAAGTACTTAAAGTTCAAAAGAAATAAGAACTCGCAAGAAAAAACTCGTGGCTACATAAACATGTACATAAATAATGAAAATTCACAATAGCACAGGACATGGTTTCTATTGTTCATTTTTCATCATGTCTTGGCGTTGAAAACAAAACTTGCAAATGCACTCGTAACATCCCTGTATAGATATAATAATATGAAGCATGGATTATTAACCACTACTATGAAATAGACACATAAATAAAAATTAGGTATAAAAGTATCATTCAACTCCAATAGGCCAATCATATCTAAAAATACACACATACATACACATAGACATGAAGAGAGATATTTGGAGTTTAAGTGTAAACCTTAAACTGGTGTTATATGGTTGGTAAAGATTTTGATTTGGTGTGATACTTTTTTATATGTTACTTGGTTTGATTTGAATATTTCAGGATTGGTCTAAATAAAATAAGAATGAGTAAGAAGAAGAGAATAAAACCTAAGTGTGCCTCTTATATGAGAGTGATCACTAAGTAGCTAAGGGATGAGCGCAGAAGAACTTATTAGTGCATTTGGCTATCAACTATACTCTTTTTGTCTCATTTTGTTTGTCTTACTTTCCGTTTTGAATTGTCCCAAAGTGAATGTTATGTTTCCTTATTGGTAGAAATATGTAGTCCAAATCATTTTACTTTATTTTATTCAAAACTCAAACACAACTTTTACTTTACAAACTTTATTAATAAATGCGCCAAACTAAAATAAGACATTCAATATGAGACGGAGTAGTAACAGAGGATTGATAATAGGCATCTAAAGCAAAAAAGAAAAAATATGTACTTGAGATAAGGAAGAGTCATGTTCTTCAATAGAGAAGGGTGGCGAATTACAAAGCTCTTCCATTCCTCCTTATCAATTCTGCCATCCATGTCAACATCCATATCTACAAATGTCTGTGAGCCGCATATCACACACGCATAACTAAACACACACATATATACTTTGGATCAAATAAAAAGGTTCATTCTCATGAATAGTAAGAGTGGTACATCTGATCTAAGATCTAATGATTTTAAATTAAATATGTAAAAAATGCATTAAAATGGATCAAAAATACGCTGGCATTTTTGTAAATAATAAATTTAAGTCTTATTTCTTTGTAAAAAGTGAACTTCATGTGTGTAATAGTGTACCGTAAATGATCAAAAGTGGATGACGGAAAACTTCTCAATGCAATAGTGCACCTCAGAATCTCAGATGCTCAAAAGTGCAATCAGTCACACTTTGTATGAGAAGACTACATTTTATTGGAACTAGACCATGTATTAGTACATTGAAAGACCAACAAAAGCTGCATTTATAATCCAATTCACGGAAAATTCAATTATTGAAAACTAGCAATTTACACGAGTTTTCGTCTCTTCAAGATGACCAAATTTGATGATTAACTAAATAATATTGATATACTTCGTATATAGTATAAATCTACGTATTATATAAATTCATATAATCATTTCTCTTATTTGATCTATATTACGCACACAACATTGCATATACTCCGTATATGATGATCGATGATGATGATGCATTCTGGCCCGTTAAATAACAAACTTTGAAGCAGCGGCAAATAATGTTTTCTTATACGTAGTATACTCTAATACTCCCATCTTTGTCCCTTTTAAATCTCTTCATTCATTCATTAAAAAGATCTCATACCATATTTGATACCTCGTAATATTTAAATGATTACAATTCATTTTTGTTTTGTTCATACTTTATCTATTCAATAACTACAAAACTCCACTTTCCTGAATGACCGTGCGACTCCATTTTATTCCAATCTTAGGGGAGAGTTAGTCACACATAATATATAGAACACCCTACCTACCTTGTCAACAATTTCCTCCACAAGATCATCGGATAGTTTTGTCCCAGATTCCAGCAGAATTGCAATCACCATCTCCTTAACCTACACGAAAAAAGAGATTTATCTAATTATCTGTTTTAAGAAAAATATTATCGCGACTTAATTTTTGTATGAAAATAATTTATCAATATAAATAAATCTTTTTGGTATTGCGTGTTAATGACTTACTTCTTCACGCTCAATGAAGCCGGTTTGCCTGAGGTCGTAAATCCTAAATGCAACTGCAAATTTTCCCAAACTAATAATGACTTAGTGAGGATACAATCACACAAAATTCTTTTTAACTTAGAAACATGTTTTTAATGGTTTCATACACTCGATTTTCTCCTCAATTGGTGCGTTGGGATGAAACACGTTTAAGGCATGGATAAATTCCTCAAAATCAATTATCCCATTCCTCTTCTCGTCAAACACATCAAATACCTGGATTTTATATAATGGCTAACAATTGATATTCGGCAAGGGTTATTGGGCTAAAATATCTAAATTTCCTGAAGGAAAGTATTAATAACATCCATCACACCAAATATTTAAGTAAAAAAAGACTCATTTTGTAATTATTCTCCTTGTTTGAAGGAAAATAAGCACGAAGGGCTACCAAACGAAGCCTAGTTAGTTTTAGTTACTAATGGGCCAAAAGTCGAATTACCGAAAGTCCGTTTATAAAAAAAATGACTTTTTGCCACTTTAAGTCATTCGATTATTAGACAGTTTTGATACTCGATTATGATTTTTTCCACTTTAATTTCAATCATTCGACTACCGTTTGAAATTCACTTTAATTTGGAACCCATTGCATGTTTGTAATTTTCCATATTTGGTCCTCAAGTTTCATAAGAGTAACACTTTTAATTTTTCTACTATTATCATGTTATCGTGACATTTTTAGTCACTCACTTATTGTTTAAGAGTTATAATAGAAGGACAAAAATGTCACATACGCAAAAAGCTCTCGATTAAAAGTGACAAAATCTCCCTAAATTTAGTCATGTAATTTGACTTTTAATACATTCTTCAATTGAGAATATGCTAAAGTGAGGTTGTTTAGAATGCAACCAAAAAGTGACTTTAAGAGGACGTTTGGTAACATCTTTTTTTGGCTTATCAGGCTTATCAGCTAACTTTTTCACCAAACACGTAACTTTTACTTTCGCGCGCTGAATTGTGTAATAAGCATAAAAAGTAAGGTTAGAGTTACTTTTCTGGCTGTATTGGTTGAAGTTACTGTAGATGACCATTTTAGCTATTTTTACATATAATTTTTTCTTTATTTTATTAATAAAATATATTTTAAAAATAATTTTTACTTAAATCAGCAGAAACAACCAAAGCAGCCACTTCAGCCAGAACTTCATAAATTTCAGCAGAATCAGCCAAAACAGCCGATTTTCGTGCTACCAAACGGGCTCTAAGAATGTGAAGTTATCAGAAGTTGAATAAAAGTATGAGTTATCACATTAGAAAGCAAATTATGAGTTACCAAATTAAAAGAATGAGGTTGTTTAGAAAGCATCCAATTGAATAAAAATATGAGTTACCAAATTATCAACTTTGGCTAAGTCAACTTGAGAAACGTTCAGCAAAATTAGTTCGAGGTAGAAAAACTTAAAACAAATGGGTTTTCAATTTTTAAAAGGACAATTTGATATCCATTTTTCCAATACCAAATCGAAGGTTTGGTTTAAGCATATAATTGGATTTCTCTCTTTGAATCTCTAAATTTCCCTCAGATTTCTAATAGTAGTACACTGGTACTAGCTTTTAAGAAGCAGAATAAAGATTATTGCTTTTTTGGAAGAAATAGGCTTAAATTGATAGCAAATTCAGATAGTAGGTAGTCCGACAATAAGATTCATGACAACCGCCGTCTCGCGAACTAGACTCAGAATTAATCACCTTCAAAGAAGCAATATAATTCGTTGATCCATTAATGAGTATAATTGAGCCAAAGACGGTTACCACAATCCTCTCATCACCCAAATTCAAATCAATTGTCATACAAAAAGGAACAACTTAAATAGGCTTATATATATATCTAATAATCTAAATAATAATGATAAGAACAAGTAGTACATTTACCCGATCCAGAAAGAGGTTCTTCCCAAATGGTGTATGGAAAAGTGCTAGCTGAAACTCTTCCTATTAAACCATCACGATTAAGAAAATACCATCATAGCACTCATAAAATTTGTACAAAAAGTTACAATTAATTATTGTAAGGTGTTAGAGACCGTATAATCAAGCCCATTCCATCGATCCATGTTGGGGTTAAGTTTTACTCTCTATAAATATAATATACGCTCTCTCCTTGTAATCGTCATCAGAAAATATTAATAACATCCTGGTCTGGTAACACCCCCAGACGTAGTCATTCTTGGCGAACTGGGTTACCATGGCCATATTCTCGGGTCTTTCTTATTGTTTTCGTATTGTGCGTATTGTTAATCCTAACAATTATCCCATTTTTTTAACAAAATTCTTTTATAAGTTTAAATTAATAATAATACGCAGAAGTCGAAAAATTCAATTGCAAGACTGAAAAGTTGTGGATCTTTTACCTTATGAATCAAACCATCCTTGATTAGAGAGCAACTCAGCTTCTTATACAGCTCGTATAATGTTTCCACTTCGTTCAACGTAACTGCAACATAAATTTGGAGACACATCGAGAGGACAAATCAACATCCAAACTTCACAAAAATCACAAATTAATGTGAATGAATCTCTTGTTTTATGTTGGCAATAACTGGTCTATAAAGCAAACAAAATATAATTAAGGCGGAGGAGTGATATATGGTAAATTGTACTCCCTTCGATCTTCCCATAAAATTTTTCCCGGTTTCACTTTGATTGGAGTTTAGCAAATTGAGAATTAGGTGAAAATGTAGGATTTGGTTGAATATGAAAAATGTAAATGAATGTTAGCCACACAAAACTTCTAAAAAGAAAATGAAAAAAATTTTGAGACATCTCAAAATGATAAGTGAGAAATTTATGGGATGGAGGAAGCATTTTTAAAAAAGCGATACTAGAGAGCAATAATTTGTTGGAAGTTAATTTTCTTAAAATATGAATGAAAACAAGGTAAACTCGATTAACAGAGTGCTATATTTTATTCTAAATAGTAATTATTCAGAGGTACTTCAAAAACATAATGTTCCTGTTTAGAGAAATCATCCTATTTTAAATACTTCCTTCATTCTTTCTTAGTTATAATGGTTCACTTTTCACGTGTACCAACACACAAATTTGACTACTAATATTTTTTATTCTTTATTAGTAAAAAAATAAAAAACTTAGATTTTGAAAATTTAAAATGAGGTAAATTTAACAGTAATTTTCAAAAATTTAATTTATAATACATTAATAAATAAAATATAATGTAACCAAAGTAGAATATGTGAATAATGCTAAATTATCAATGTGGCAATTAAAAGAGAACAAAGGTTGTATTAACTCACTCAATTTCTTATTTTCTTAGTACCTTCATCCCACTGACATTGAGACATAACGAAGCGATACAAATTAAGAAAAATGAGTTTATATGTGGTTGATATTGAATTGATAAAGTAAAATTAAACTAAAAATTATTTAGAATCACTCAAACTTTGTCAAACTTAATATGAGACGATCTTAGTATGACATATCGAAAAGGAAAGATGGAACAGTGTTAATGGGATGAGAAGAATTTGTTTATAAGGAGTGAATGGTACACCGAGATTGATTGGCTAGTCGAGAAATATCTTGTTGGGAAGGATGCATCTTCTTCTGTTGATTGTGGGGAGGAGTATTCTCGTATTTGGGTTGAAAACAACCCGAGACTACGAACATCAATGCCTCGAATCCGGCCGCAATAATTGGCAGAAGGGAAATGCATAATTTTTCTGGTAACGTTAATGAGCTTGAATCCTCTTCCTCCGCATCCTGCGTGCCGTAGGCTCAAGAAATGAGAAACAATAAAATTGACTGAACTGTTGAAATTAGTGCAATTTTTATTGAAGGGGATGAATTGGCTAGATCTACTAAATTATGGAGAGGTTACGTATAAGATATACGAAGTATTTAATGTATAATTAAGATAAAGAAAAAATTATGCTTCCTCCGTTCTTTTTTAGTTGCAACGGTCAGCATTTCACACTTGCCAATGCAAGTCTTTGACCGTAATTATATCTTAATCTCTATTAGTAAACAAAAAATTAAAAATCATATTCTGAAATTTTGTAATGAGATAAATTGAACAATATTTTTTTTGAAAAATAATTCTCATAAAATAATAGCGTAAAATGTAGTCAAAATATAACATGTGAATAGTGTAAAATTCCACATGTTGCGATTAAAAAGAAACGGAGGATAGTATGATAAATAAATAAAATGATTTTCTACATAAATTTTAGTTTATTCAATTCAAAATGTAACTCATACCTTATCTATTTTGACTATACACAATGTAGTGCACAAAATAAGAAATTACTCATTTGATAAAAACTAAGGTTGACTATTAAGATCGATAATTATGTCAAAAATATTTTCCTTCGTTCTTTGTAGTTGCAACAGTTTGTCAATGCACAACTTTGACTGTAATTATATTTAATTGCGTATTAGTAAACGTGATAAAAAGTTAATATTTTGGAAATTCACATTAACAGAAATTTAATATCATTTTATACATAATAATTTGATTATGAGGTGTTTGGATCTGATTCTTAAAACTGATTCTGCTCCTTCAGAGCAGAAGCGGAAGTTGTAGTGTTTAAGTGAAAGTGCAGAAGTGATTCTGGTGTTCTAATTTACTCCTAGAATCGATTTTTGGCTTCTGAAAAAAGATTCTAATTCTGTTTTTGCTTTAAAAAAGAAGCAGAAGCAGAATCAGTTCCAAACACCCCCTATATATGTATTACTACAAAATCAGGGTGAAAGTAAGATTTGTGAATAACGTAAAAATCACATTAATGAACAATGTTTGGTGTACCTCATTTTGGGTACCACATTTATACACTATCACTTGTGTGGTTTACAAAAGTCCAACACGATTGTCCCATTTTTTACAATTGCTTTTGTGAACTAGACAACAAGAGGGGCATAAATAGAATACCCAAAATGAGGTACCTATAATATTTTTCAAAGTCACAATGTTGTAAATGTTGAAAGGCCCTAAATATCATTTTCACTTTTAACTGCTTCGGTATGTTACATCTACGAAAAAAGTGAATAGAGAGCCGAGTCTTGAATTTACCATAGATGAATTATTGGTAGGAATGGAATTCATTATCAAGATTTGCGTTATGTTTTCTCACTTATACCATGTGCAGCTGCAATGAAAAAAATAGTATTTGAGGACCCCATGATATAAAATGATTGTAAATAAATTGATATAATATGCACGTCCGATCCGAAGCGACAGGCACATGTAATTGTTTGATCAAGAAATTTTTTTATCAATCCAGTTCACAGACAAAATCTGTGAATGGAACTCATAGACAAAAAAAAACTTTCAAAACATAGGTGGGTATAAAAATGGGTATAAGAGTAAATAGAAAGATTACTTTTGTTGTTAAAAATGGGTATATTTAAAGTGAATACTTGAATAGTTGAATCTATTTAGATATTCTCAAATAAAAATGCTACTCCCTCTGTCCCTAAAAGAACTTCCAACTTTCCCTTTTCGTCCGTCCAAAAAAGAACTTCACTTTCCCTTTTTGGCAAAGAATTTGTGGTCCACAGCATTTCTCTCTCCTCTGCACAACTCTCCACCATACAATTCCCGCTTTCTTAATCAGTGTGCCACTTTATTTTGGAAGAACATTTAGGGACGGAGGTAGTATTTTTTTTCAATTGAAGTAATTATTGCGAAGTAGTATGCATTGGAGTACGTACTCGAATACGGAGTATGTACTCTGTATTGAAGTACTTGTCGCACAAATAATTAAAATGGTTTTCTACGTTAACTTCAATCATACTTTGTAATTTCTTATTACTACCTCCGTCCCTTTTATATTGGGACGGAAGAAGGTCGCACGAGTTTTAAGAAAAGTTGGTTTGTGTGCTTGATATTAATTGATAAAGTAAGAATAAAGTAGGAATGATTTTGAGTCACACAAATTTTACCAAATAAGGTATGAGACAATTAAATAGGGACAACCCAATATGATAAAACGAGACATTAAAAAGGGGACGGAGTGAGCATTACACAATTCAACGTGTGAAATTCCACGTTACGTGTTTGGTGAAAAAGTTGACTACTAAGTCTGATATGTTGAAAAAACATGGTCACCTAACGGACTCTAAAAACAACTACTTATATTATTCATTGTCCTTAATTCGTACCGGAATACTAAAAATTAAACTACTCCATATTAAATCTACGGAGTATATATTAGACATGTACTAGAAGGTGCGATTGTCAAGAAAAATGAATTTATGTACTTAATATTCAATCAATAAAGTGAGAATAACGTAAAAATGATTTAAAACCGGTCAAACATTATCAAGTTTGATACGTACTATGAGATAATCTTGACGGGACGGAGGGAGTAATATCAATCCAGCCCACTCTAATTAGCCCGGCCCGATCCAATTCCTCCGCTGATCTGCATGTTGCGTTTGTTGCCCTCCTCCTTCAACGGACCAACTTCCGCCTGCAGCCGACCAGGCGACGGCGAAACTGGCCGGTGATGCTGAGATGGTCCAAGCTCAACCGCGTGGGAAAGTGGAGGCGATATTTATGAACGGCCGGCGACGTTTCAGCACAATCAGACCAGTTGGTGATCAGATAGCGCCGACACTTCAATTCCGTTTTCTGATGAAGATATACAAGTACATATGCTATGTGTCGGGTGTTTTACCAAAATACGGGAATTCTCAACATCATTTGCCAAAACACGGGAAAAAGTTTAGGGTTTTTAAAAAAGCGAAGGTCGGATACACCAATTCCGACCGGGGAAAACTAGGATGTGCTCCTGTCGGATACACCACTTCCGACTTGGGTTTTGTTTTTCTTTTTCAAATTCTTTTCGATGAAGTGCTTTAACATCCGAATTGGCATGATGTTTGGATGGTCTTTTTTATTAAATAAAGTTAGTTTTTTGAATGTGTTGAAGGAAATTCTATGTAGTGTGCTATCGTGTATATAGAAATGTATTAGGATCATTCTATGTAAACTATGTATTATGGGTCCATTGGCCCGTCTCTGTAAACCCTAATACCTCCCTATTTATAGGGCCCGTCTCAATTACACTCTTTTCCTTTAACCAAGTTTTATTTTTCCCACCGGGTTTTGTTACTTGGTAAGGTTTTTGATGAGGTAACGATACATATACGCTTTATTGATCAAAGCAAGGATCAAATAAAGACAGACTTAATGGAAGAAGTCTATCGTGATGCTCTATACTCTTTTTTCTAGTCAAGGTTATTTTTTCGCACAGGGTTTTTGTTACTTGACACGGTTCTGACGAGGCAACAAGACTGATACCAAATTCTATCTACAACTCAGCACAAGGGGGAGTGTTGAAGGAAATTCTATGTAGTGTGCTATCGTGTATATAGAAATGTATTAGGATCATTCTATGTAAACTATGTATTATGGGTCCATTGGCCCGTCTCTGTAAATTCGGGTAAAGGAAAACACCCTGGTGGAACATCGTTTCATCACCTACATCCATGGCCAACCGCTCAAGCCGTTCTTTAATGTTTTCATAACCCGCCGCCTGATTGGCGAGCTCATACACATCGTGAAAGCCCTGCTTTTGCATAAAAATGTAACAAGTATAAATAATATGACACAAAATATTTTAATGAATATGGTATGTATTCAATAACTTACCATAAGACCCCAATCACGTGCTGTCGAGGTGTATCCTGTCGCCGGCGCAACGTGAGAAGGGTTCCCGACACGTATCACCCCATGCCGCGAGTACCATTTTGGTACATACCTATCAGTCGCTGTGAGTATTCTTTGTTGTTCGTAATTCAGCAGGTATACACTATTCCGTCGGTTCGCCTACATTGTCAAGACAGATGTTATACGGCAGAACGACACTTCCCCCGTGGTTCATGTATTTTTCGGACTGTTTTAAATATATTTTATTTTATCGGGTCGAATAAAATATATTATGTGTTCTTAATCATTATGACATCTAGAATGAATATACATTCCCCAACTTTAATTTATTAGTCTCCGAAATTCATTTCGGGTTGTTATCTGCCCAATTACCAATACCGGTATTTGGGCCTCTTTTGACCAATCGGTCAACTCCGGGCCTTTCCATGGCCCAAATGAAGTATCCACCACCATATGAATATTATCTAAATCAAGATGAATAAAAATATATGGTCTCAGGAATATCGGGCGGCCCCCACTCCCGGTGTGGGCCCCACGTGCGAATTCACTATTCACGCAAAAGAATTAATAAAAATTCACAACTTCGTATATTCATTAACCATTCCATAAGGTTCAATACATTATTCACTTAAAAGTAAATACATTTGGGGACGGTGTTACATCATCTAACTAATTATTACATGATATTTAACTAATGGAAAATATCATCTACAAATATTTAACTAATTTAAACTTTTAACTATTGAAGTTGGGGTGAAGTTGGCCGGATGTATAATTTCAAAAAATAAAAAAAAAATCTGTAACTACCTGTCGGATTTCCCAATTCCGACAGGAGGATGCTAATGACTTTTTTTTGTTTTAATTGATTCAAGTTGGCCGAATGTATAATTTCAAAAAAAAAAATCTATACTTGTCGGATTTCCCAATTCCGACACGAAGCCCTCACCCTAAACAATGCCCTACCCTGGTCGGAACACGGAAATCCGACTCACGCATTTTGGTAACCTAATTCCAATTCCCGTTTTTTGGCGTGTCAGACAAAAAAGTCCCGTGTTTTGGTAATTTCCTCCTATGTGTCTGGCACTCTGGCATGTGTTTTTAATGTGTCCATACAACCGGTCCCACGTATGTACTTAAAATGCTATAGTGGCATACTCAATGTCTATTCAGGGACTAGAGCATCAACCTTCATAATTGGATTGTTAATAGAAGGAAAAACTAGGTGCTCGAACTTTCATAAAAAGGTCAATTAAGTCCTTCTATAGGAGGTTTTGTCCAGCTGTCGCAATTTGGGACATTTCTCGGTGGAATTTTTTGATGAAATTTTTTGAGCATCTTATTCACCAAGTCTAGTTTACTCATACCAAATTTTAGCTAAAAATTCAATCGGGAATACATTCAAAATAATTCTTGAAGATAACTGCTCATTTTTGCGTTCTCGAATTAATTTGAATGTGCTCTCGATTAAATTTTTAGCTGAAATTTGGTATGAGTAAACTAGACTTGATGAATAAGATGCTCAAAAAATTTCATCAAAAAATTGCACCGGGAACCGCCCCAAATCGCGATGACCGGACAGAGTCTCCTATAGAAGGACTTAATTGACTTTTTTATGAAAGTTCGAGGATCTATTTGACAGTTTTCCCTTAATAGAAAAATTTTCTAGTGGTACATAAAATGTTGGCATACTCTTTTCAGTCTTTTGTGTATAAAGTTATACAATTATCTGAAAAAGAACAATTATCTGTGTACACGGGTGAACATAAAATGTGTACAAAATGTGTACACATTCTAACTACTCAGGCAGCATGTTTAAAAAAAGACAACAATTATCTAATATATAATAGAGTTAGTCAAATGTGTACGCTTTTGTGTACACAAAAAATAGTTGTTTAATTTAATGCAAATCAATGTGTACACCATTACACCTAAAATAGTTGTTTAATTTAATACAAATCAGAGTAACACTTACCTTCAAATTATTGTGGCGCAGTTTATTTTGATATAATTTCACACCCTCTAAACTACCTGCAATCAAACACCTCCTCTGAATAATCTGAACTTTTACAGGTCCTAAGTTAACTAATACTACCTCCGTTCTCTTTTAAATGCAACGTTGGACTTTTTGCACTATTCACATGTTTTACTTTGACTCTATTTTATTTATTAATGTATTATAAATTAAATTCGAAAAAAATATTGTTAAATTCCTCTGATTTTAAATTTTCATACGCTAAATTTTTTATTTTTTTAGTAATACAGAATGAAAGATGTTATAATGGTCAAACTTATGCGTTGGCAAACGTGAAAAGTGGACTGTTGCAATTAAAAAAGAACGAAGAAAGTATTTGATTTTAGATTATTTTATCAAACTATAATTCCTAATGATTTTTCTAACTCATGATAATTCATAATTATTAGATTCCTAATAATATTAAATAATAATTTTAACTCAATTTAAAATGAATACAAGTTCAACTATTTGAATTCGATATATATCTTAAACCATGTTATTTATAATTATCGTAGCTTGCCCTATTCCTTACAAATTTATAACTCTCAAATAAAAATATTTTTTGTATCATATGGAGTAGTATGTTTCACTCCGTCTCCCTTCTCCCCTCACATCTAACCCTCAAACTCTCAAACATACACTTTGTCACATACATAAGACGAATATTGGACGTAGGGAATATATAAGATGTAAGTGAGCTGTTAACGTTGTTCCTTGAATAACATGTAATTATGTAGGTGAGCTGTCAACGTTAAGTTGTTCCTTCGTGATATCATTTGTATGCCAACTATTCTCTCTTGATCCGGTGGATTAGGAGCGTAGTCAGGACACTGGGCAAACTGACTCGATACGAAGAATATTTTTAAAGAATTTTTACATCAGATTTTTACCTTAAAACAATTAAACATTTTTAAAATTTGAGATGAATCGGGACTTTAGATTGACACAAGATCCGTCATGAACAGGATGATGCTCTCCAACATGGCAACATGATTGATTTTTGAAGGCACATTTTCAGAGTAAATTTCTTTATGATGTTGGAACAGTTGCAGATTTTTTATGTTTAACTTGGTGTTAGGTTGTATTTTTGTTTTGTTGGCTAATAGTTTTGGGTTTGTGAGGCTTGTTTTTGAGAGTTTTGATTATGTTTAATTGGAGTTTCCTATTGATTGCATTGGGTTTTGATACTGTTTTTTGATGTATTGCAGTAGGATTGAATTTTAATTCTGTTTTGTTGTATTGAAACTGGGAAATGCCCCTAAAATTTACACTGGGAATGTACTTTTGCTGTCATTTATATACTCCCTTCGTCCCTAATAACTTTGACAAGTTTGATTTGCACGAGGATTAATAAAATAAAAACTGTGTGATTGAAATTTGTGCAGAGGAGAGAAAATTAACTGGAATCACAAATTCTTTACTTAAAAGAGAAAGTGACAAAGTTAATGAGACATCTAAAAAAGGAAAGTTGACAAAGTTTTAAGGGACGGAGGGAGTACTATACATTTGCTTTCATAAAAAAAAAAAGAGCTCTTGTTGGTTGTAGAATTAAACTAACACAGTATCAATTTTTGTCCAATCGAAAAACAAGAATGAACATCAATCCAACCCACGCGATCAATGTACGTGCATGACATGCTGTTGGGGTATTCAAATTTCAAACCCGTTCCCAAATTTCATATTTGTAGTCACGTGGAAGCTCCAACGATTTATTATTTAAATATCTTTGTATTGGAGCCTCTATGTTTAACTCTGTGGCAATGATGTTTATTATTAATGTGAATAACACAAAACGGTGATTTCACTAAGACAACTACTTCAACATTTCTTGACAAGCTATTTAGGGTTTTTGCATTTAGTATGACTGGTTTATTTACATGGAAATATACTGTTTAAAAAGTGTGTTTTGACAAAATATAGTTAAAAAACAGGCTCAGTTTTTACATTGAAATGTATAGCAAGATAATTAAAATTTCATTAATTGAATACAAAAAATTATATGCAAACTAGTATATGTATCGACTTTGGGGTTGTAGTGAAGAAGTTGATGGACAGAAAGAATGTTATTTTAATATAAAAAATGAATATGACTGGTGAGGTTGTGGATGCACATAGTGATACTCACCATTTCTTCAAACATGTCTCTGTTACCAATTACGGAGTAATTGCTATTCACTCTTTTTCATAAATAATGTCATTAGAATAACTCAATTGGTTTTTGTTAGCTAGTGTGCTTGTAATTTTCAAACAAATAGCGTGGAGGAAAGAAAGTTGTCGACATGACCTACTAGCGTGGAGGAAAGAAAGTTGTTAGAAATGCGGAAAATTCATGAAATAGAAGTAAAAACAACACAAAATTCAATAAGAGGCTTACATTTTGTATCACCAAGACAACTAATACAAAATAGATGATTATATCTCGCCTATTTCCTCTTATGCAAACAAAACATTATTAATAACCTAATTGTTTTGGTATTATGTAATTTGGTACATGTCTTGCCATTTTAGTTGACTTTGCCCATCAATTTGGTATTATGCGCGCACGCGCACAGAGGCACACTGGTATACTTCATGTACCCCTGGAGTAATTTTAAAAATCTAATTAAAGCTATGTTAACTATTACTCCATACAATAGGTAAGATACAACATAAATTTAGTCAAAATCAGCCCAGCAACCCAATTTGCAATGAAGAGAGGATTTCTTTTTCTTAAGTTATGTTTCTGATGTCATTAATGTCTTTAAATTCTGCAGGCATTGTAAAACAGGGTTTACGATGCACTTATTTCCATGAGGGAAGAAATTTCTCAGATTGAGAAAGGGGAGTTTGATCTTGGCAATAATGTTCTGAAGATGAAATCATCTATTTTCTGCAGTGTCGAGCTTCATCTAAATAGAAGCCTAGAAGTTTTCGCACTATTCTGTCTTTTGATTTCTTTCTTTTAGGAAGAGTTGATGCATAAGACTTCTTTAACTACAGAATACTCCCCATTGGCCGTATCAAAGGAAATATTGCTTAAATATTGTCATATTTAAATTATTTGAACAAGGTGATTAATACGATAGTATTATTATTATATCATCAACTTTTACAGCAGAGGTGTAGTACTTGAAAAACCAAAGTACCCTTTTTCTAAATGATCACGTAGTTCCATATTCATGCCTTGTGTGTCAAAGAAAAGGAAACCTGTGGATCTTCACGCTCCATATTTTGGAGCTTTCCAAAGCTTAAATGCCAATTCATGTAGGAATCTGTCAGCTGGAATCACAAGATTTCCACCCTCCTGCGTAGCATCCACAACAAATCATTTATGTAACTAGTGACTACTAATGATAAGTTCAGTTTTTCTTTTTACACTCAAGTCAACAAAACTAAAAGTTAAGCGAAGTAAAAAAGAAAAAAGAACACACCTCTTTAATATCTTCAAATGAAAATGCTCCAACCGCATCCTTCCTAGTTACACCGTCTTGCCATTGAGCAACTAACATCGGACAATGATGCCTATGAACGAACACATTATATATAAAAACATTCTACACCGGATGCCCAAAGGTCATTTAATTACACACACAAGGGGGTAGGTGTTACGCACCTAACATTCTCACGCGTTTTTCCACCTTTCATTGTATAACTTTGGCGTGGGAAAAGCATGTGAAGCTGGGAATTACTCTCATTTCTAATGTTGTTACAAAAAGAAAACTTAGAATCTTCCTTGTATGAAACGGCCCCAAAGCTCAATACAACAGATAGGTGCAACCGGGACCCAACTTCAGTCCCGGGTTGGGCCATCGTGGTTAACAACTCACCTACCAGGCCATTGATATCTTCTACGCTTTCAACATGAAGAATAACTAAATCAAATCGGCTCATCTCTGAAACCTTCCCATTTTGAAGCCCTAGCAATTCCAAGGCGGATACAAGTGGTTTGACTTCCAGGCTATTGCAGTGTAGTAAACCATCTGCCCCAAACGTGGTCATGCCAAGCCGGTCGCAGAACACCTTCAGTATTGGATGGTCAGTCACAATAGCCACTTTCATCCCCATGAACCTAGATCCAAAAAGATTGGATTTAGAGAGCAATAACAACTAAAATCTTAAACTAATAGATGGACCACATTTAAAGTACGCTTAGAATTACTTTGTAATAAATCACCACACTTTAGTTCCTCTACATCAACCTCTGTTTTTTTCTTAAAAATGGTGTAGCTCATAGAACTTCAGTTAAGCTAAACTGAGCTCACCATTCCGCAATGTACATGTCTCGCTCTCTAGAAAAAAACCATTAAACTTTTTTTGCAATAGGAAATGATGTCGAAAAACCAGACCAGACTCTTATGGCCATGAATGTTTTTTCAAAAATTGAGGTTGACAGAGTTGAACTGAAAAAACAATGTAAATTAGTGATGAATAACAAGAAAGAATTACAAGAACCTAAAGTATAAGTATGAGGTATATTTGCATGGATGCAAAAGAAGATTCAATGATCAAATCATAGAGTATAACCTTAAGTGAAAATAGCATCTTCCATCCCATGAACCTAAATCAGTAAATCCAGAAATCGAAGGAATTGGACATAGTAATTGTTGTCAACTAAAAGCTTAAGATTCTATGCACTACACATTTAATATTTGTAGTATTATATCAAATTGCAACATGCACAAAGAGTGAGAATTGGATGAAGTTTACCTTTGAGATATAGTCGGCGTCAGAGGCGTCTTCTGAGATCTCATTTCAGATACATCTTCTTCATTCTAAAAGCCAAAAACAAAAAGCTTTAATACCATCTATCTATTCATCACACCAAAAGAATGAAAACAAAGCTTCTTAGTTTTAAGTAAGCATTATAAATAGAACAAATGCATCTCACCATTTTATTATAAGCTTCCCTTGAATCAAGTAGCTCTGCAAATTCTCTGACTATTCTTGCATCCTCATTTTCTACAAACTAATATCCATGTTAGTTTCAGCATCATTACACAACACAACGAAACACAGAAACAACTTCGGGTTTCATCTTAAAGGGTCAATCTTACAAGAGAACTTGCCCAAAAGGGCCAAAACCTTATATGTTAGTAATGTATTTTTTACTTCATATTTATTCATTGTGGGATGATTTAACATTCCACCCTCAATCCCTCGAAAAGAAAAAAAGAAGTGCTGCTAAGTGCCAACCCAAAAACGGTCTTATTTGAGTTATTTCAACACTTTGACCTCCATTGAGTTGGAGATTTGTATACCACAATGGTTCAAGCAATAATAAGAACCTACATTCACTCTCAACACAGCTCAAGGAGTGTTTGCAATAGCTTCTAAGTTGAGTTTTTCTGATTATCTTTTAGCTAAAGCAGGAAATAGGTAGGGCGTTTAAACTCAGTTTGTCTATAATACTACAGCCATTTTTTTTCAAAATGCTCTACTGACTTTTACCATGCACTTTCTCTATAATCTCTAAAACAAATCACTTTTACTGACACATGCGATAAAATTGGAACGATACAGAGAAGATTAGCATGGCCCCTGCGCAAGGATGACACGCACAAATCGACTAACATATGCAAATTGAGCCTTACTTTACAAACCATTTTGACAAAAAAAAAAATAGCGAGACAGTAATTGTGTAATCTGGTACGAATGAAAACATGAGCAATATGGCTGTGCCAACAGACGGAGATTAACTATGAATATTAGAGAAAACACAAAGAAATAGTTGGGGGCAAACCTGAAGGAGGCGAGTCAGGGAGAGACAAGAAGCCAGAGCAGGCCCGAGAAGCGAGAGAATGGAGATGGATATGAGATGGCAATACGGATCGCGCCAGTCCATCACCATACAGCACTAGACCTCTACTAGGTTTGTCTGCCATTCCTTTCTGACTTTGTCCTCCTATCTGTTTTTATTGTACGCCTTGTGTAAATAACTTATATATCACCACTGGTACAAGAAGTACAACAAGCAAAAACAGAGCATAAATCAGTGGGAAATCAAAGGGTAATACATTCTATGGAAAAATAAATAAAATGAGAGAAGCCATGACTTTTGTGGCAAAATTGCCCCCAAAAATGAAAACACTCACCCAGTTGAAATAATATGAATTACTTGAACCATTGAAATTATCACATCAATCAATTCAAAGAAAATCAAAATCAAAGTACCCCTGAACCATTTGAAGTTCCTTAGTTTTACAAAAATTGAGAGAACCCCTCTAGGTATTTCGGGATTCAACTAACAAAGTTGAGAGCAGATGGTATGGTTTGATAATAAAAACTTTGGTTGAGAAATGAAAGGAAAGGAGACCTAGGGGTGAGGTTCATGTTTGCCTTGTAAAATAACCAACTGATGACAGAATACTGACTAATATTTTTTACTCTAATAATGGACTGATAACATCACTATAACCAATTCTAAATTGTAGTTCAGTTTTGGTCGGTAACTGCATAACCCAGCTTAACTGGTCATATAGATTTTAGAAGTATATTTTTCCAGAATATGAAAGCTTTAGATAAACACCAGCAAATAAAACAATTGGTTCCAAAATGGATTTTAAACATATGTACAAGCAGTTTTTGAAGTATAAGAATGACCAAATCTGCGGCCTCATATTTAATTCCTAATACAATGTCATCTGTCATTAGTTTTACTAATTTAGCAAAAACACACAATATGATATAAAAAAAAAGTTGTGAGCCTTTCAATGTTACACCATAGTACACATGCATGCATCAAAACATATTTCTCTGGCCAATCTGGCAATAAAATCAAAGCATATGCCTCTTGCCAATTTGGCAATAAAATCAAAACATATTCCTCTTGCCAAAACATACTTACTAGAGATGGTTCAGTTCAGCATGATATACCATTTTTTTCTCATACTGAATATCATACCGAATTTTCGGTATAAGAAAATCTTATACCTCTACTGTACCGAATGTCTTGGTATACAGAAGTTCCGTATACAGGAATTTTGGTATGGCACTACCCTCATACCGTTTCATGCCGAATTTTAGGTAAAGTCAAATCCAAGCATGGTATGGTATAATGCCATGCCATTCAGAAAAAATTCTGATCTACAAAAAAATTCAATATATTACTGTTATTCCATAATCACTCTATATACAACAACAACACCATCCAAGCCTTAATCCCAAAAGGTTTTGGGGTCGGCTAACATGAATCGATCCATGATATCGAAGCCATAAAGAGAAGACAGACAAAAGTAAATAAAAAGATAAAACGAATATTATAAAGATAGATAAATATAAGAATATAAGAAAGATAAAAGAACATAAAAAGGGAGAACTTTAAATACATAATATTCAAAAACTAAACGAGAACTATTATACCATATACGAAGTATTATTCACTCAACACAACACATTAAAAACAGTACAATTACCCAACGATGTGCACATAATATAGCTCAGTCGTTAACAGCCAAACAAAACTCAAATAAAAGAAATCCCTAAACTAAGCTTCAAACCTGCTGCCTGCATATACAAAGTAGAACTATATTATTATTGATCTATAACAAAAGCTATTCTCTGAGTCCAAAACAGAAGCTGCACTAAAAAAAAAAAGATAGAAGCTGCACTAAAAAAAGATAGAAGCTGCAAAACAGAAGCATCCAAACTATTGTTTGGAGCAGATTGAGTTACTAAACAATCAGTTTTTCCCAATTTGATTTGTGCCATAAATCTCTTAAGCGCCTGTAGTCTAAACAATCAGTAAGATAGGGTTTGAACAAGAAGTGTGTTTTATTGAAATTAAGCTAGGCCTTCAGTATTAATGTTATACTGCAGTGTAGTCAAAAGCGTGTGCCTGGGCGCTTAAGGGCACACCATGTGAGGTGCTATAGAGGTGTACCGCCTTATACTCTTCCAGGTGAGAGGGTGTCTGAGTGAGGCGCAATATAAGCGCAAGAAGCGCAGAAGCACATGCCTGATTCACCTGGACTGAAAAGGGTTCTGAAGTTATATTTTTACATAAGATTTGGGTCTATTTTAAATAAACCCATATCAATCAATAATAAGATACACAAATACTGCTGGTACACATATTTTCTACACATATTATTTACACCCTTAGTTGTCTGTCTATAGAGGCAATTCGTTCAGACGGACAACTAGGGGTGTACACAAAAGGGGTACAAAATATGTGTACACCTTCAATAAGATATAGCCCATCCATCATCATATAAATTATAATTAGTTCTTGCAAGTAGAAGTACCTCAAGTACTATCACTTATTTTCAGGAAACGTTTGTATGAATTTTTATGCGAATTTAGCTATAGTAAACATATGGAATAAGACTGGGGGATGAGGAGATGTCTCCCTTTTGCGACCAAAATCTCCAGTAATATCAAATTCCAGCAAGTTTGGGTGTAAATTGCCTTATAGCAACATTAGTTCAGCCGTTCATCATCTTTTTTTGGTAGAGGAAGAAATTGAGGGGTTTGATAGTGTTCTTCGGTGTACGATTTAACTCAACAAAGTTAGCACTTATTCACTTCAACAAATAAGTAAGCTTTTAACTGATTAAACAATTAACCATTTAACCCCAGACAATTAACCACTTGTTCTCAATATTTCAAATCATTCAAATCACAAGATTAAAATGTAAGAATTTACCGAGTGGAAAAAGATAAAAAATGATCAGAAAACTGTGAACGAAAGAATGAGTGTGTATTTAGGATTTCGGAAGAGATAAACCAGACATTTACCGTTAATTTGGCGGAAAGAGATTCAACACGGTTGATTCATTCAGACACTTTAGCGGCTGAAGAAGGCCTGAAGGGCGTGAATTCGTGGAGAAGTTTGTGACTTTGTGCCAGGAATGGATTAAAGCCAGAAAATGGAGAAGTCAATAAAGAAGTGAGAACTGAGGAAGATCGACTGATTCGGATGAAGCGTGAGGTTATATTTTGGAATATTATTACTTCGTATGAGTTTTTCGTTGATGGACTTGAGGGGTAGGGTCGGACTAGTATACACCGGTTACCATTTTTTTATTCTAAAGGGGAAGACTTCAGTTTCATTGAAACCCAACATAAACTTAAGCATTTCTGCAGAAACAAATCCCCGGACGATTGGGAAAAAAGAAGAAAAACAGGACAGTTGATTTCCATTTAATTGTACGAACAAACGAAGGAAAAAAAAAGCAAAACAAAAGCAAAAAAGTAATCTACCTCTATATAAAAAGAGGTGGAAAACCAGGTGGTTTTCCCGCCCAAACTCAAGGTTGTGCAATGGGTCGGGTTGTGTGATTGGGTCGGGCTGTTGAATTCAATTGGTCCAAGAAATTAGTTGGAGATTATTAATTGAGCTTATTAATTGAGATGCTTCAATCTACTCGAATGGATGTTGCAGGGTGGATCAGAGAACTGACATTTTGTTTTAATATAGTTAAAAAAATCTGAGGGTGAAAAACTTTTGCTATTTGATTTCTTTAATTGCATGGTCGAAATAAATGCAAAGGATACCTTCCCAATCCCAGCAGAAGAAACATTTAATTCATTTGACTAACCTTTCTATTTTTGTTCATAAATGCACATCACTTTTTAGGTAGGTTGAAGTTGGTAAAAAAAAGATATTTAATTTAAGGGTTTCTGCTCAACCACTTGGAAGAAGTGCTAAATTGCATTTATTGCAAAGGGAATCTTTACAATTATAACAAGACGTATTATAGACGGTTTGACAATCCTTCCAATAATAGTTCTCAAATCTACAGCACTTTCAAGGTTGGTGGGTGTAGAGTCTAGAAAAAGAAAGTCAATTAATGGGGCTCTCATGACACTTGGAGTTTGCAACAATATTTGAAATTTTGAATTTCTATTGGGCCTTCATGAGAATAATTTGGGATTTTGGGCCACTATGTTCGGCTATAAATAGGACACACAACACAGGCATTCTCACCACAACACATTTCCCATTGAGTTTCTTTAGTTTCTATGATCACAATGCATTAATGTCTTAAAGCTCAAAGAGAAACAGTTGCGGTCCTCCATAGACCATAAAAGAGATTGATCACAAGAAGATGACTTGGGCCTTCAGGTTTTGAGTCATTAGGGTGTATCAGTGTATGAAGTGTCTGCGCATGCTGGAGGAGGGAAGACTCATGAAAGGGTGAGGTATGATGAGTAGGTATATTTACTTGACTTTATTTTGGATATGCATTTCTTCCCTACTAAATTATAATGCATACTAACTTAGAACGACATTTTAGGGAAATCTTCATCCATGCTACTGTAAAAAGATCGCCGATCGCTTTCTTCAGACAATAAACAATGGAAGAAGACGTGTATGTTATGATTCATTATCATTGTGCTGTACAATAACCTAAATTCAGGGGTTTGTGAGTAGGGCAAAGGGTTTTTCGTTTGGCATAGTGAAAAACTGGAGTTAAACAATGTTCTTTGAAAATACTTAGCCACAACAGCTGCCCAAATTCTGACCAAAGTATATTTTCATTTATTACAATGATAATGTAAAAAAAGCTAAATTTATTCAAGTTAGAACTTTGGGCAGTCCTAATTAAATCTTTAAGGATGGATGTTGTAGGAATCATACCTGTGAGATTTCATGCTGTAAAAGAGCCCTGCACCACCTAATCTAAACTACTTTATAATTATTACATTAAATGGCAACCTTTAAAAGGTTCCAAAATCCTACAAATTACATTAATGGTCCAAGTAGGTTTATTAAATCAAATAGATATCCCAATCTATTATGAAGGCTGGACCTGTATATGTGAAAATAAACTGCAGTAAATATTTTGAACTAAACTGTAGAAATTATGCAGATGGTTTAAAACTAGGAAAAATAATGCAGATGATTTCATATTAGTATGAGAGCTGAGTTTAAAAACAGAATTAGTTAGAAAATCATGTGATTTAAAATATTGGACTGTGGTGTTAAAGACAATAATAAGGATTCATATAGGTACATACACGTATGTCTATATTTATGAAAAATAAGTTTTAAAAACCAAATGTTATCCACGGTTAAATTGGTATTAAGGTAGACTGACACTTTAGTTAAAAAGAAAGTAAGTATGAAACCGGTATTAGAACTAAATATTATAGATTAGTTTAAAAACCAAGTGTTGGACTCAGCCCAGTAGGTTAAAATCCTTATTATTAAGTGCTACTGAGAATAATAAGGATTGATATAGGTATATACAAGTATGAGTCTATGTATGACAAACGAGTTATAAGAACTAGGTGTTGATCCAAATCAGTATAATGATAGTGTTTAATATCCCAATCACAGCTTGGCTTACAAAAAATATAGACTAAAGCCAATATTTAATAAGTATTAAAACCAATATGTTATAATAAGTATCATTCAAGTATTGACCAGTAAGCATGCATTGTAAAATAGTTGATGTAAAATAAGTATAACACAGGTATTTCGGATGAATGTGTGACACTATGGTGCTGCATATCTCATTACAAGGGATATTGGGTTGCATGTGCCACTTAGTGTTTACTATTCCGTCCATAGTTTACAGATCCATCAACTTTAACCATATTAAGAAGCTTTATAAGCACAATAATACGGAGTATCATATTAAGACAGACCCGGACTATAATTTCAGAGATCAAGATCTCTGTGTGTGTGTGTGTCTATATATATATAAAGATGTATTTTTTTGGATAATCAAGGAATTACAAATAAAATATATCGATAAATATATATCAAATATCTGATATTAAGCATAAATATCTTATATTAAGATATATCCGAACAGAATTTCCGGTATCAAGACAGATCTATTTGTAGTAAATATGTATCTATGTTATATATATACAAACATGTGTTTTATTGGGATAATCGTATAAATTGAAATAAAATATACTCCGTATATAAATATAAATACAAAGGCTCACATTAATAGAGATATGTACTGCAAAGTGCTAGATCTAGAGCGAGTAGTCTTTAGATCAACAGTTTATGCGTATATTTTAAGAATAATAATTAGAGATTAGTCATTAACCACCCGATGAATAAAGTACAGAAACTCTATGTTTCAGATTAGTCATGACCAAAGATGTAAAAATTTAGAGATGGGGAAGTATATGGATTATATATTACAGATCTACTGAAAAGAAGCTCGAAAATATACCAACAATGTTGACGCCCGTCGGTGTAAAACGGAAATATAGAGTGAAGGACTCTGGTCGGTGGTCATGACGGTCATTCAACCTCCGTTAAGGATCTGGATATGCAAGCAACAGACACAATCATTTGCCTGAACAATAAATCGAAAAGGAAGGGCGTTAGAGGGTAGTGTTAGAGGAGATGTGTAGGTAGAATGATGAATTGATTAGGTAGATTAATGCAGAACGAAAGTGTGGTTGAACGATGAAGTGGGTAAAGGCATAGACTAATCTGGAGGATAATAGAGGGTTCTGGAGGATGAGGGTATTTATGATTAGGGTTGGGTAGGTTAAAACATAATGGATTGGGCTGGATGGGTTTAAGTTTAATGGATTTGGGTTGGATGGAGGATTTTAGTAAAGGTTATGTTGGATCCGAAAATTTAATGGTTTGTGCCCGAAATTTAATAGACCCCATAGATTTTTCACGTTTTTGTACATATTCAATGGTTTCGTTAGGTTTAAATGGGCCATCATAAAAAATTAAAAAGTGTTTTGAATGATTATTTTTGTTTTAATAGTATCTAAATAAATCTAAAAAAGTTTTAGAAGTGTTTAAATAATCGTAGTGCGGAGGGTGAAGATAATGATGGCTTTGCCAATGTTCAAATTTCAAACGACATTTTGTTAGAGTGTGGAAACAATTGCTACAATTGTAAAAACGACTTCCGGACTTTAAGAATATTCCCAGTGTCGAAATGTTAAGTCTTAGCCTATTTCATTGTATGCTCCAAATGCTTACAAACCAGTGATTCGAAATCTTATTATATGCTTCGTTTCTCCCTCCTTTTCCTAATATACAAATCGTACCAACAATGAGTGATGAATATACTTACCTTTAGAATTATTTTTTATTATTCATTTATTTTACATGTGTATAAATAATATTATCTACACATTCACTAATAAAGTTAACAAATAATATCATATACTCTACGATAATATGGCCCGTGCATCGCACGAGTGAAAATCTAGTAAAGGTAAGAAAAAGGAGTGAAAGGATTTGTTGAAGCAATTACTTACGTTTATTTCTTCTCCGATGCGGCTATCTCGATTTTGGACCACCTATCGCCTCTTTCTTCTCTCTGTTTATTCCTTCTTTATTGTTTTTCACTTGTTTGTTCTCTCGTTTTTTCCCCTGCTTTTGCGACACAAGCTCTACCGTCGGTGGTGTATATAGGCTATTCCGTCGGATCATCAGCAACCGGAGTAGGAGCAGAAAAGAGAAAAGTGGAAGGGTAGTATTGGTATTTTACAAAAAATATTCCTTACGTTAAGAATTGGGGCCGTCAATAGCAATATAAAAGGATGCAAACAGAATTCCCTTTTTAGAGCACGCTTGGTAGCACGAAAATCGGCTGTTTTGGCTGATTCTGCTGAAATTTTTGAAGTTCTGGCGGTAGTAGATGTATTGGTTGATTCTGCTGATTTAAGAAACAATTATTTTTAAAATATACGTAGTATTTTATTAATAAAATAAAGAAAAAATTATATGTAAAATAGCTAAAATGATCATGTACAGTAACTTCAGCCAAAACAACCAGAAAAGTAACTCCAACCTTACTTTTTCTGCTTATTACACAACTCAGCGCGCGAAAGTAAAAGCTACGTTTTTTGTGAAAAAGTTGGTTGGTAAGCTGATAAGCCGAAAAACAGTGCTGCCAAACAGCTTCTTAATGTGTCATTGGAGAATGTTTCATTTCTAACATGAAACATTTTTTTGTTTAAATAATTTTGTCTTTCATATTTTTTCATTGGGCACAACAACGATTGACGAATATTCCTTATTTGATTTGAAATATAATAACTTGATCTATAAACATGTAACTCTATTAGTACTTCTTAAATAATTTCTATAAACATGTAATTCTATTAGTACTTCTTAATTAATCAAAGTTTGTTACACTTTCCTATTTGAGATGT